ACGTCGCGATGAATATTTTCCTTCATGAATAGAAAATCACAATGCTGAACATTACCGTACAGTCGGTTAAATATGTACGCCGGTTGTATCGTTACGACGCGAATCAAGCGACTGGACGATTTCATATTTATCAGCCCCAACCAGCATCGTCCAATTATGTATGTACATACACTTCTACCGGCGACAGTTGAAAGACACGACAGATGCATACTTGTGGGTGTAGTGCACCTTCTCGAAGGATGAAAATTCGTATTGTGCCAACGAAAATATTACCTTTAGCTTTCTATAATTTGCTGATTTTCTATTTCTATTTTATTTCGTATTTTTAATTTGTTTTATCTATTCTTTATCCTTTTTATTTATTTGTCGTAAACCATGTGTTATACGCGTCAGTATTATTACACTGTGTCCCAAAATTACTGTACGAGCGAGAAATGGGAGATTCCTGAGGTCATTTGAAGCAACTTTCTCCTTAGCGAAAATGCAGTCCGCGGCTTCGTTTACGAGTTATTAGCGAAAAACATAGACCAATGAGAGGCGAGATCAGCTAGCGCGTGGTGGCCGAGCCAATCAGCGGAACTGGGAATGGCCTGCTGCGCCGCCTCGCGCCAGCCGAGCTCTCGTCTCATTGGTCAGCGTTTTTCGTTAATAACTCGTTAACGATGCCTGGAAGAAAATTTTTGCAAAGGAAAAAGTTGCTTCAAATAACCTCAGGAACCCCTCGTTTCCCGCTTGTAATAATTTTGGGACACTCTGAATATACTTTTAATTTTCAATAGACTTGACAACAAATTTTGTCGAACTGTCAAAAAGCAGTTAGACAACAATATTAATATTCTAGAAGTAGAAGTAGTCGGTCGACGATAAACATACGAACTGTCGGCGACAGCAGTTTCCATTAAACCGACACCGAAGAAGGACGCGCTGTTTAATTGCATTTGCACATTTCCGCGGTAGTGATTATAACATATGAAGAGAATGATACCATTCGAACTGGCGCGTTTGCAAGTTTCTCAGATGATATCATTCACGGTCCGCGGAACGGACAACATCAAACGCATTGAACTGGGTTAGGAACCCTTCGCTGTACGCGGAAGTTTAATTCGCATTAACACTTGAGAATGAACGCCGCGAAAGCCCACTTGAACACGGACACCGATGAACCAGTTGCAGACGGCAACGATCGCTCCCTTCCTTCTTTTATCGTTATTATTATCGCTACTCGTTGCAATCATCATTTCTGATCCGAGCCGCTGTTATTGCTAACTCCGCCGCGATGGCATTTTAACGCCGGTATAATCGTAGCCAATTAAATGTCAATATATTTAGAATCCGATTTACGACACGAGTGTCCGCGTTGCCGATTAATTTGCAATCCAGAAATTAATCTAAACCCGCCGATTTTCCCCCGATTGTAAAAATCAATTCTTTGGAACGGTGTAACCGGGCTGCTTCACCAATCGCAGGTCAATATTTTTAATGGAAGAACTCAATTAAAACATCGACGCGCTTCGACACTTTTCCCGAGCGCAAGTTAAATACTACGAAAACGTTCGTAGCTTTTGTCGGTCGTCGTTGTAAAAAAAAAGAAAAAAGGGGGAAAAAAGTTCATGGATTCGAGGAGAGGTTCGATGCAAAAATCAAGGGTTGCGTCGCCTCGTTAACTGGGTCAATTTTCATTCGCGAGCAATTACGAGGAGACAACGTAAAGAAAACTGAATAGATGAAACGGCTGCATACATATTTTATCGTAATTAGCGCGAACGCGATACACTTTATTGGAAATAAAAGCAATTGTCCGTTGGAATAAGTAGAACTGGATAATTACTTGGATACGGTGTGCAGGCGGGTTAATAATGATTTCGTATAATTTCGTTCCAAAGGGATGACGCACACAAGAAATTGAGTTTGCTGCATCGTTATATGTAATTATTTCTGCAACGACATTATTCCGCGTAGCTAATAAACATTGCAGTGTCGCTTACAGCAATGTACAATAACCTTAATTATTATGTAACGCGATTTGTATAAAATTAATTAACAAATGCTGTACACCTGTTTTCCTGCTTTTAATAAATTATTTCGTGGAAACATCTTCAAGGCGGTCTACGCGGATCAAAATCGAGTGATAACTGAATTAAATATTAATCATATCTGTACTATAAACTAAATATTAATCGAATCTGTACTATAAATTAAACAATAATTAAATCCATACCATAAATTAAATATTAATCAAATCTGTACGATAAATTATATATTAATTAATTTTATGCCAGAAATTAAATATTAATCGAATCTGTACTGTAAGTTAAACATTAATCAAATGTATACCGTAAATTAAATATTAATAAAATCTACACGTTCTTTTTACGTTCGCGAAACCGCGGAAAGTAAATGAAAAATATTCTTCGAACTCGGTGAGAACGTACTCTGAAGAAACAGAAATGTTACTTCGATGAGAAGCTTCACGAACAGTTGGTGCAGTCGCGGCGAGATGGGTGGGGTAATGGGGTGAGCTGCTAAACCAGCGATCATACATTTCTGTTAGGCTAGATTGTGTCGCACAACTATTAGTAAATACCAGGCACAATTAACCTCTTTAACTGCGGGCACCGCGTACAAGCAAAAATATGTGTTTTCGCACGATAATTGGGTTCAGCGTTGTAAAGCTTGCATGTTACGTATAAAACCACTGTGCATTCGCGGCAACGCGTTACAAGCATGTTTAAAGAATCGTAATTCAAGTCAGATGAACAGATATCATATTTCTCAGTTTTATCGGTTCATACGCGATTAATTCGAAACGATTAGACTGTACCAAATATAAAAATAATTTTAGTAAAAGAATATACATATAGTATACTATGACAGTACACAGTGCTCATGGTACACATTGAAGTGGCATAAGTTCTGGTTTGAAAACTGCTGAAGACGCAACGAAGTTCATAAAGAAAATCGGATTAACCCAAGCGTTGCAGTGATCAAGCTCAAGACTGGCTTCCATCCTTCTTACTAGCACGGCTGGTTACGTTTTTAATCCACTTGAAACCGACTTATAACCACGGAGAGCCATAATTCCTATGGAAAACGTAGTGATTTAGCAATTTAATACTTTGACCGGCATTGTCAGTTATAGCATTACTGAAACAATCTTGTCTGACACAAACTTTAACATCTTCAATAGCTTTATTTTTATCTCTCTAATGAAACTTCAAGATCTTATATATATATAATTATAATATAATATCTATCTATTTAATATAATAATATATTTAATTCTATTAGAACAGTCACACAAATATTAATTCTATTTAGTATGTCGATTTTTTAATTTCTATAAAAGATCTTGAGGTTTGATATAATATATATTATAATATAATAATAACAATATATTATAATAATAGATATTATATTATATTAAATAGAATGAATGTCTGTGTGACATTTCTAGTAGACACTGACAGTCGACACATTAAACAGAATTAATGTCTGCGCGACTGTTCTAGTAGACACCCGATGGTCAACATGCTAAACAGAATTAATATCTGCACGACATTTATGAACACAGATGGTCAGCGTGCTAATTAAAATTAATAGCCGTGCGACACTCGATAAAAGAATTCGGAACAGGATGATCCTACAAAAGAGTTCTCCATTTTCAAACCTGTTGGACTCTCGTTCCACAAAGCATTGTACTTGTCGCCGACAAGTTTATAGTTGAACGGACTTCTTCCATACGCATAATACCGACCATTCGCGACTGTTCATCCGTGAAGCGCGCACACAAGTTGCATAATCTTCGAATCGCGTTCAAGGACACGGGAGGCATAGATAAACGGACAGTGAACGATCGCCGCGGACTCTTTTAAACTATTCGCGGTTCGATGTATGTATGTATGTATTATGCGATCCGGTGTCGATTGTCATCATAAAAGGAGACCGACGAGAGAAATGATCGGAGAGAATCATCGTTACGTTGGACTGCTTGCTCGCAGTCCGGCTACGTGGCGCGTGATGCAACAAATTTCTTGCCGACGGTTCGCGGTGTTCGCCGGACGAGTCAGCTTAGCGGCATCTATTATGCACCGCGGCGTAAACCGTGCAAGTACCATCGGGTTGGCACGTGGTCATAACTTCTGGCCTTTTTCCCGGAGTTCAAGGTGTTGGTTTTTTTATGAACGAAGCGACAACGCAGCGCCGTCGCAGAAGCTGATGATCCTAAGAGTGGCCGCGTTTGTCGCGGGTGTAAAAATTTGTTAACGACGGCGGGGGCGCTGAATGCGACGGGACGCGGTTAACGAACACGGAATTGCTCGTTTCTCACCTGCGTGGTTAATAATATCCTACGAAAATAGAACTACCTGTCTCCGGCTCATTATACTTTACAATTCGTAACGCCTACCCCGGTGTATTGGACTCGCTGTTAAATGGTGATCGGGCGGTAACTAGACCGATCGAATTATTTAATAGCTATCGATTTATCATTATTTTTCACTGGATCAGTATTTTACCTAATAAACGGTGAAATATTTCGTGTGCACGAATTTTACAATTTTCTAAAATGTTGGGGAACGAAAAATATGCGAGCTTTCGTTGCATTAGCTTTCTTTCTTGTTGTTAAATTATTCTTCCGTATCTCATACAGGATCAATAATTTTAACTAATAATTGTAACTATTTTAAATCATTTTTATATATAAAAATTGACAATGCTCTTACTTTTATGCAGAACTGCTGAGAGAGAGAGAGCTTGATGTTAAATTATTCGTCCACATCTCATATATAGGATCAATAATTTTAACTAATAATTTGAACTATTTTAAATCATTTTTTTATATATAAAAATAAACAATGCTCTTAGTTTTATGTAGAACTGCCGAAGAACTTGTGCAGAACTTACGTAGAACTTATGAGAGGAACTGTTTAGTCGTTCGATGAAATTCATCTTCGTTCCAGAGTTGAATGCAGAAATATAAAAATTATGCAATATTTTTCCAGGCATATCGGCGTATGCGACAACACCCTACAATGTCAGTATTAACCAGCCGATCGCGAACCGCCTAGGAAACGGCCGGCAGAACGAACCCATAAAACGATTCGCCTGTCCCGTAGGATTCTTCCGATTGAAACGATACTGTTATTATTTAAGCGCAGGAACGGCACCCTGGAGGGAAGCTCATTTTCATTGCAGGGACAGAAATGCCACTCTGGCGATCCTCGACAGAAGCGGCAAAGACAGGATGCTGAGAAAATATCTGATGGGTGAACAATTCAGTGAGTAAACGTTTCATAGAGCATTATTTGCTGCGAGCATTTACAATGCGCTCGATGCACGCGCAAATTTGTAAAATATGTCGAAAATTCGAAGAAATCACGACTACGTATCCTAACGCGAATTGCAACAAGTAATAAGTGAACATATGTATATGTGTAACTGGTTTCATTATTTTGCATATATTGCATATATTTTTCACATTAATTTTGAATATTAATTTTGCATATTAATTTTGGATATTAATTTAGAATATTAATTTTGCATATTAATTTAGAATATTAATTTTGCATAAAGATCCACTGTTCAATAATAATAGAAGCTTGAATTGAAACGAGTTCCTCGTAGAAACGTCTTTATAACGTCGAGAACTGTGAAAGAAATAATTCCGAAACCAGTCATCCGGACTGGCTTGGTAATTTCAGTGTTAACAACTAAAAAAAAACTAGCATTCATGGAACATTCGAATATTTTTTTTTTACAGCGAAACTAGAAAGATGGATCGGCGGAATGTTCAACTGGAAAAAGATGGCATGGGAATGGAGCGTGACCGGCGACAAGATGGACTTCCAAAATTTCGGGAGACCACAGTCCGGTCAGTCGAAGTATGCATGGCACTGCATCACGATCGATCCGACCTTAAAATATAAATGGAGCCCGCGAAGTTGCGTCGAACGAAAGCATTTCGTTTGCGAAGTGCCGGCCGGCCGCGTAGGTAAGATCCGATGAACTGTTCCCACCAGTCCCGCGTACTCTTCCTTTGAAAACCGTTCTGTACGGAAAGCAATCGCGAGAGACAACGAAAAAAAAAGACAAAGTCACCGCGTGTTTTCGTCTTTCTTTCCGCGGCGTAGAAAAAAAAAAAGAAAAAACAGTGCGGCTCGTAACAGGAAGTTTTGTTTACAAAACACAGCCAGAAGACGCAAGAAGACGGCGGACCCCTTCGCCCCGCAAAACCAAAGACTAAAGCCTCGAAAGAAGGGCAAAAAGTACTCGAAGGATACGCAGAAGCCGCAAAAGGGCAAGCGTAAACAGCGGGCCGGTTGGAAGAGAAATTGGGCGGAACAGGACACGAAGACTTATTGGGCTCACGGTGTTAATTTCGGCTCAAGGCCGCCATCCAAGTAAGATTCTTTACACTCTTGCGTGCAAATTAGGCGTGCACGATGCGCGCAAAAACTTGTCGAAACGTCGGAGGAGGCTTTTACGAACGATTCGGTATACTGCAGAGCAAGCAGAAATATTTTATTCGAATCTGTGTACGCGTTTATCGAGAGAAATTTCATGGTTTTACTCGAGTCGGTTGTTTTTCTTCATTTATCCGCCAATTGAAGCGAATGTAGCTCTCGTGGAACTCAGAAAATTAACTTCAGCCGTCCGGTTGAACGTTCAATTTTCCAATACCGAACTTCTCAATTTTTTATTTTGATTTTACTCAAATTTAATTTTAATTTCATTGATTGGTTTCATTTTAAGAAATATTGCAATTTCAAGATTACTGAAATTCAAAATGTCGAGCTCTTGCGAATATAGACAAACCATCGTCAAGTTTGGTAAGCTTTTGAAAGATACAGAGATCAAATTTGGCATTCTTAAGGAATTTAAAATCGAAGAAGAAATTATTGAAATATCGCTTGGAGTATTAAAAGCGCGACTCGATCGGCGAATAAAATATTCTTAACAGTGAAAAGTATAAACATAGAAATTTGTCAGCTGAAAATAAGAACAGAATATCTACACACCCAAATCCTCGGCTCACCAAGTACACACGTACATACTATCTTTACGCCATCATTCCTGTAACAAAACTTTCGAAAACCACGAATTCGCTTCCGACAAGAACCGCGGCGGAAAATTACACCGTTGCACTTGCAGCTGAAAATGTCAGGTCTCCTAAATTATTAGCACAAAGAAGCTCCAGTCTGGACCAGAAAATGTGCTGCTTCCTTGTGCCTTGCAATGCTCTAAGACAGTTTAAGAGATAATGGTTTGTCTATATTTAATCGAGGCCACCGCTCGGCTACGACCCCGGAGCCGTTTCAACGATAATATTTTCTGTTCGTTCAGCAACATGGTGCCGAAGGTACGAATGCGGCACAAACCCAACAGAACCCAGCCGAATTATTCTGCACCGACGGTGGCGCAGATCCAGCCACAAGGTCAGGTGGGATACAGCGCGTTCCTCGGCGACGGACCTAGCAGCGGTCCACAGAGCCTGACGGACCTGAGCAAGGTCCTCTTCCAGAACCGAGGGAAAATCAACGAACTGGCGAGCGAAGAAGTGCTGCTGAAGCCTTGAACGAACGTTGCTCGCCACGCAACGATGTCCTTTTCATCCTTTATCTGACGAACTTCTGCCCCTCCCCCTCCTCTGCATCGTTAGAAATGCTTTTATCTCTGTTATTTTTTCGATACTCAACACCGTGAGTTGTGTTCTAGACGGCTGTATTCTGTCGTTCGAGTCGCACTCGCGACTGTTTAATGAAAATTAATTGTTCAGATCGGATAAAGAATGGAAAAAGGTTCAAGAGTTTTGGTCTTGTGAATACATAGTGGGGAACTCCGGCGTTCCAGCTGTACGGATGCCATGTTAGATGACAATGAAACCGAGCACAGACTGACATAATTTATTCATTTAATAATCCGCGAAACAGTCTCTCATGTTCCTTTCTCTGAATAGGCGTTAGATTCTCGACGGTCTACTGTCTAGTTTAGTAACGTTACCTCAGATCTTGTAGATTAACGGACTCGTAAATATCGATGTGTACGAAGCGAACAGATTGTATCCGGTTTCTTCGTCGTTTCTTTCCCGTGCCACAATTAGGGTATTTCTACGAATCACATTATCGTATGCATGCGTAACGACTTTATGTTTGATCGTGTACTTATCGAAATTGTATCTCCCCGATGAATTCGCCGTGCGCGCGCGATCCTTCGAAGACGTTTGCGGGAAGAACCAATTTATACAGTTCTGCACGAAGCGAATGTACTACAATGGTTCTCGAGTATTGTATGTATATTAAATGCATATTATATGACGGGAAACGATTGTGAACGACGCGTCTCTCGAAAAATCAGTTTTCGTTCTCGGCTTTCCGTGTCGGAGCTATAAATTCTTCGGCACCTCGATCCGAACGTCTTTAGGCGATCGTAATAAGAAAATGATTGTCTACAGTCGAATAAATGTTTAGAATAACGATGTAATCATTATGCTACATTACGCACCACAGATAGCCGGCTTGCTTCAACATTAATTATCGTGTTTCAAATATCAATATTATATATTATCAATGTCATATCAATATGTATTACACCGAGAATCCGGGATTACGTATTCGAACGTTATTATTTTAATATGCGTTGACAGTATCATATAAGATAATGTGAATAGTTTTATGTTCGATATATGTTTCATTAGCCGTATTACGTAGGTAAGTATGATAGAATAAAGCTTTTTTCACCAGTAAAATATTTTACGTCATAAGTTAATGAGACTCTACTATGAATTGTAAGCTTAACGTTGTCTTGTAATAATAGAGGCTCCACCTACTACTAAAGCATAATGTATCAGCTAAAATTATTATTATTATTATTACTATTATTACTATTATTATTATTCAGCGACGCTAGTTACAGAAAGTAAATTTATTGTATGCTATTATTAACGAGCTATTTTGCACTGTTTTCTTTGTAAATACGACAAGTGTCAACTTCTATTTTCTGTATTTAAAACGATGTATATTGTAACAATGAAAAAATATGTGTGAACCTATCGTTCTGATGAATTTTCGAATCGGCCGTACACCAATTATAGAGACATATATCACAACACATATATGTTTAGGTGCACGAATAAGTAATCCACTATTTCAGCCCCCATAAAGAAGTAGTGGATTTCTTAATGTACCTGATAAATAAATAAATAAATAAATAAATAAATAAGTAATCACTCACTTTTATGTAGATACACAGAGCATCACCCTTGGGCTGTCCGTTCGAATCTTTGTACAACTTGATTCTATTCTTTCCTTTTTCATCTCGTGCAATGAGGCCACATTTGTTGAACAGTTCTGTAAGTTCCTCCATGGTGATGTCCAATGGAAGACCGGATACATAGATAGCTGTATTATGCGCTTCGTCCACCTCAAACCAAGTTGGTGGCTCCTGTGCTTTTCTTTTAGCTTCCATTTTCTTCTTCTCTTTGTCGGCTTTTGCCGATTGTTCGGGCTGTTCTGTGGGCGTCGATGCAGCCCCGCTTGGTTCTGTGAAGCCATAACTCATTTGATACCTGGCCATGAAGTCATCGTCCACCTGTAATGATATCGTTTATATTGATACTTGTTATAAAAAAATCCTGTTAAAATTGAAGAACTGCTCTTATCGTTTATAATGTTGAAAGTTGAAACAAAGAGAAAAACTTTGCGAGAAGTTTAAGCTAGATACAGGTATTGGGAACACACCTTACCTTTGGGAACCAAGCATTTTTCTCTTTGTCCCAGAAGTACACACTGCCGTCATTCGGATCTGTATATGTGTGGGTATCATTTTCAAATCCAAATACACCCTCTTGTGTCTTGGCCGTATCAGCTTCCGAGTTTTCGGTATCTGTTTCCGATGTTTCTTTTACTACCCATTCATTTTTCTCTTGATCAAACCTGTATACCACATTAGTAGCAGGATCCTTGTATGTGTAAGACTTTCCATCAAATTTGTAATGTTTCATAGGGTCATCAACTTTCTCAGATTCTTGACAATCAGCCATTCTGACTGTTAATAGTGTTGCATTTAGAAAATAGTACTATACAGTCTCTGGACCACCTGTTGAACATCCAATTGAAAAGATTTATTAATATAAATTAAAAACAAATTTAAATTTATACTAATCGCCCAATTATTTAGACATTTCAGTGTGTAATATACGAAGTACACACAAAAACCACATTTTACTCCATATTAATAAATTGTTTACAATGAATAATGTTCGACATATATTGCTAAAACTGTCAAAATCTTTCCCTAACCTATAGATATTGTTATACATCGTAATAAAGCTTACAAAATAAAGTTAATTTTATGTATTATGCAATCCAAAATGGAGACCTACACGCGCAACATTAATTACACTTTATATAATGAACGATATCTAATAAAAATGGTACAATATCAACTAATGATACCATCGTATAGGTTATGTATAGTACATTAGAAAATAAACTGCATGCAAATACAATTTCTTTATTTCTTAACATTACTAATTTGTGCGAAGTATTTTATATGTGAAACTGAGCGTTTCTTGAAATATGAGTACGTATTTTTCAAGTAAATAAATGTTATCTTTTAGATTATAGGTTAGATATATATTATAGACAAAAAAACA